GCAGCAGCAGCAGCATTTAGCGTCTTTTCTGCTCTGCTCTGTGTACGGGTTGTGTGTTCTGTGGAATTTACGGCGTCCTTAAACATTCTTATCCTTCTGGCGTAGTTATGGAAGATATTTTTTATGAAAGGTAGCTTTATTTTTATGGTTCTGCTGAAATAACTCATGGGAATTTGGTTGCGCAAGTTTCACTTATATCCCTTAATAATAGAGCATGAAAGTGGTGATGCATAGCAGCGTCGCGATTCTTTTCTACAATTATTGTGCCTTTAATCTAGTTGATCTTGCGGGAACATGTTCAAGATGCTCGTTGACAGACTAGGTTTCAGTGCTGGTCGATTGCATCACACCTTTGGTGGCCAACCTGTTTTATGTGCTGATTGCTTTTTGCTTTGTGATTGTGATTAAATCAACATTGGCCTGTATTTTGAGCATCATTTCGGCTCCACCAGGTTTCATTAGTTGGCTGAAGCGAAACACTGTCCTCGAAATAAGCAGCAGTAAGTGTTGCATTCTTGCCATGTGTCCATTTCTTCTCGTCACAGGAATTCCGCAGCAAAGCTTCTTTTATTTTAGCAAATTCAGTTTAGGGTTGGCTGTTTCGGCAGTCAAAGTATGTGGGTGAAGATGTGCAGCGAGGAACATGGTTTTCTTTTTTCCATATCGAGTTTTTTGTTTTATTCATCATTGATCGTCAGTTTACTTTTCCATCTTGCGTAAATGTGCAGGATTTTTTTTTTGGTTCAGCCAGCATCATTGCAGTGGTTTTGGCGATACTGGCATGCATTATTACTGTGATAGCTGGAATTCTGGTCTATTCTGCAGGCTCATTTTCGGATGTAACAGTTGGAATTGGCTTAATCCTTATTGCGCTAAGTGGTGTTAGCGCATTATTTGCTGCAGTGGTAGGTTTGCGCAGGTCAGTCTTTCAAAAATTGGTTTGGCTGGTTTTGTTATACTTTTTGAATGTTTCTAAACAGCGTAACAGGTCTCAATAAAAATCGACGGATCGAGATGAAGAAACAGTTCAGAAGAACTGTCTGAGTGGTGAGGGCGAATATCGATCAAGTTTGTTGGTGCCTGGTTGAAAAGCTTTAGTACGCACTGGATTCAGTGATTTCTGCAACAAAACTATTGCTAGAAAGAATAGGAAATATAAAATTGGGTAAAACCCGAAGCGTGAACTACTCTGTTCTTTGAGGACGCCACAATGAGTTTGAGCAAAGGCCTTGAGAATTACCACATTCAGCGGAAAACATCGGCGGTAAAAAAAAGCAGTGTTTGAGAAAATACAGGAATAAATGCTGCTATATCTTCTCAAACTAGCAGTATTTACAAATAAAAGTGGGCTTTAGGTCACGGACCAAATTAACACTGATAATGTACACAGAAAATCCCAAGCAAACTTGTTTTGCATCACGTGCCAACATTCCTGTTCATTTAATTGATTTTTTTAATTCTAATATTCCGATGTTATGAAAACGTTCGTACTACTCGAGTAAAAATTTTTACATATCACTACTGAAAATCTTCATGCACGCCTGTTCTGAACAGGAAATAAATATACACTACATGCTTCAGCAGGAAATTACACTTAGAAAGCTTGTTGATTGGAGCAAATTTCACAGCATTTTCGAGGTCATCAAAGTGTCGAACCAAAAAGACAGTACTCAGTCTTCAGTACTACTGTGCTGCATGGATGGGGCTTGCGGATGCGAAATGTCTAAATACATTTTCATACCCATTGACTAAAACGTCTCTTTTTATGCGTTTTTTACAGCTATGCAATGCGGAAAACGCATATTGACGAGAGGTTGTCTGTATGTGTGTTTCTGTGTCTGTGTGTGCGCAGGGCCTCTGTACCGATTTTTCATCTCGAGACCTACAAAAGCAGCAGGGCTGAAATTTTGGGAATTTAATCTACATGCACTTACGGGTCCCCGTCCCCAAAGTGGGCGGTCTTACCCACGTGGTACCCACGTAAGAGCCCGCCAAAGTTTTCTACGAGTAAGCTGCTAACTCGAGAACCAGAAATGCTTGGGAGTTGAAATTTTAAGGAAATTTCCGCGCCCAAATAGGTATTAAAGAGCTCAAACCCAGCCCACGAGTAAGTGGTACCTGCGTACGGCCCGCCAAAATTTTTTTCGGGTAAGTTGATAACTCGAGGAACTGAAAGCTAGAAGACTGTAGTTTTAAGTGGATGTTCCCCCGTCCAAGCAAGTCTCAGCGAGCTCAATCGCAGAAATCGGGTGTGCGTGGTACCCACGGGCGGGCCCGAGTAATTTTTTTCCAGTAAGTTGCTAACTCAGGACCCAGGAAAGTTAGAAAGCTGAAATTATAAGGGGATATTTCTTGCCAGTTCTGACGGCCAGTCTTGATTTCTTTAGCTAGAAGCATTTACCGGAAAAATGGATGCCGGTAGCGACAAAAGCTGCGGAAAATTATGCAAAAAACGCATCTTCGCACGGATAGCCCGTGCGTTGGCCAATTATTTTTAAGTGCGAAAACGCATGGACGGCCTCAGAAACCGAAAATGGAGGCTAGCGAAATTTGGACTAAACGTCTACGAAGATTCGGCCGCTATTGCGGACGCACGCTGTTGTAAATTACTCCTACACAAATCCAACCACC